TAGGATGCAATGCAAAGGGCAAGGTTATATGATACTAATTGATAGATACCAATTAAAACTTTACTCAAAAGCATGTCTTGCCCTTGCAAATGTCCCCATGTGATATTATGGAAAAAAAATTCTCTCATTACATAGACTAATCCATAATTCACTTTCCTCCCTTTCTCGGACCATTACCACTTGTAGACATCAACTTGATGCTTGCCTTTGGTCCTTCAAATTCTCCCCCTTTGGCATCAAACACTAAAAAGGAAGACATTAGTAGCACAAGGGAGGGTCAAATTTCATGATCCTTTGTGTATAGAGAGAAATGGATCACAAAATTTGACTCTCGCATTATATAGACTAAGCTCCCCCTAAATATATACATACATATGGTAGAAAGCAAAGCATATGCATAATTAGCAATTTGTTGCACAAGAGAGTTTAATCTATGTAATGCATGGAGAAAGCATATAAATATGAAATAAAATCAACATGATGATGCCAATTGAAGAACGATGCTTCTCTTCGGGGACTCCATTTTTCTTGCAATGAGACTACTACACACATGATAAACAAAGGTGTTAGTCTCAAAGCGTCCATCTTGTAGATGATCCTCCCCTAAATTTGTGCATGGAGACATGGAATACTTGTAGTACTCATGCACAATTGATTTTGGAGTCAAAATACTACTTGAAAGATGATATTTGGGAGAAAATTATCTACAATTTGGACTTTGGCACATATTAGATAAACAATAGTAAGACAAGCTATGTGCCGTGCTTCTAAGCAATTTTAAACCATGTAGGTTTGCTCCAAGGGTTACAAATGAGACCGAGCAAGCCTACCATATGAAATACCTAGTGTATGCATGACAAAAGATATAAGCATGCAAATGCAACCCTAGGCATGAGGAGTAACTAGATGCTTAAAGATACCAATTGTAGGAAAATCTAATTGCAAGATGTACCAATTAAAAAGTAATAACATCTAGTTACCTCACATGGGAAGGGGAATTTGGGTCCATAGTATTCACTAACCCACTTGGCAATGATTTTGTCCATCTTGATGCACCCCATGAAATGCACCCATACTTTGCCAAGTCTCCAAATTCCCCGTTGTTCGACGGACTTCTCACTTCCCTTTAGGGATCCAAACCTTCTTGGTGCTCTTCATGTTTGAAATGATTTCCTTTGGCACCCAAAAGCGTTTGACCCCTTTGTTGGCTTGCTTGTTCACCTTGATGGCCACCACCTTGTCATTTTTCTTCTTCTTCAAGAGATAAGGTGTGGAGGCCTTCTTGTCCACCTTGTTGGTGTAGGTGTTGGAGAGCTTGCTTGTTTGCTTTTTCTCCTTCTTCTTTGCTCCTCCCCCATTCTTTACCTTGCACTCATAGGACTTGTGGCCTTCTTTGTGGCACACATAGCAAACCACGATTTGTCCTTCATCAAGCTTCTTCACTCCCTTGACGGTGTTATCTTGAAGAAGTTGGGTTTGCTTTGTCTTGCCTTTCACTTGAGTCAAGTCCTTGGTGAGGCGAACTACTTCTTGCTTGAGTTTCTCATTCTCCTTTACAACCTCTTGTGTGCATGTATCTACAATCACTTTCTCAACACAAGCTTGGTTGCACAAGGGTGAGTCTAAATATAAATCATTGCAAGAAGTAGAGGCATCCTTTTTAATTATGTCATTTCTTTTAGATGCCTTGGTGGGGGTATTTTTGACGGCCTCAAGATTAGCAACTTTATTTGTTAGCTCATCACAATGCTTGCACATGATTTCCATTTTAGCAAGCAAACTTTGATAATCATTTTGTGAGCTAGCTAACTTTTCTTTTAATTTTTCATTTTTCTTTTCAAGTTGCTTATCATTAATTGTGCATGCACTCGTTGTTGCACTAGCCTCAAGTTGCTCAATTTTAGTAGATAGTTCAACATTGAGATTTGCAAAGTTTTCATATTGTTCAAGTAAGTTCTTGTATGCTTCTTGTGAACTACCTAGCTCTTCTTTTAAAATTTTGAGCTTCTTTTGTTGACTAGTGCAAACTTTAGCATATTTAAGATTTTGTTGCACAATTGTATTGTAAGAAGGCAAATCATCATCACTATCACTCTCACTAGAGGATGAGCTTTCGTTACCTCGTGCCATAAGGCACACACGAGAAGAGCTTGATGATGAGTGTTTGCGCCCTCGCCTCTTGTGATGGTCTTCTTCACTTGAAGAATCATCCCATGATTTTATTGATGTGAGGGCTTTGTTCTTGCACGCCTTCTTCTTTGTCTTGGGTGTGGGCTTGTTTGGACAAACTTCCACAAAGTGCCCCACCTCGCCACATCCATAGCATCCTCTCTTTCTTTGCTCGTTTCTTTGATTGGTGAAAATAAGGTCTTGGATTTGGATGGGCACACCCTTGACATTGAGCTTTTGGATCATCTTCTCCACCTTGTTGATAAGTTTGATTGATTCTTCATCAAGGTCGGAGGTGGAGGAGGAAGATTGATCATCACTTGATTCTTCTTCTTCATCATCATCATCATCATCTTCATCTTCACTTGAGGAACTTGAGCTTGAGCTTGTCTCAACTTTTTTGCCCTTCATCTTCTTTTTCTCGCTACATGCGAGAGCTTTGCCTTTGCTCGATGAAGAGGCTTCTTCTTGACCCATCTTGCGTGACATTTCAAATGCCACTATCTTGCCAATGACAATGCCCGGGGTCATGGTGCTCAAGTCCTCCATATTGTGAAGGATGGTGATGATGCTTGAATATTTCTTTTGTGGTAGCACGGAGATGATTTTCCTCACGATGTCCGCATCATCTAGCTTTAATAATCCTATAGAGTGGAGCTCATTGATAATTAGATTCAATCGAGAATACATATCACGAACAAGCTCATCTTCATTCATTGTAAAGGAATCATAATTTTGCTTAGCTAGACAATGTTTTTGCTCACGGACATTACTTGTGCCGTCATGGAGCTCTTGGAGTTTTAACCAAATTTCATGTGCCGTATTTAAGGTGAACACTTGGTTAAACACATCCATGCTAAATAATTCAAACAAGCAATTCTTAGCTCTAGCATTAAAATGCATTTCTTTTTCATCACTCTTTGTGGGTTTTTCGGGATTCTTGATGGGTTTCATCCCGTCACGAGTGACTCTCCATACACCCAAATCAACCGCCTCAAGGTGGCAAGCCATTCTAGCTTTATAGTATGGGAAGTTAGTGCCGTCAAATTGTGGAGGCCTAGCGGTATCCATCCCAACCACTCTACAATAGCGTCGGCTCAACGGCGGTTAAGCCAAAGGTCCAAATATGAGCCAACCGGCTCTGATACCACTTGTAGGACACGAGGACGCCTAAGAGTGGGGGGGGGGGTGAATTAGGCAATTTAAAAAACTAACTCTAAACTATGGCCTCTTTTTCTAACCCTAGCAAAACCTATGTAATAGACAAGCTATCTAGATGTGCAACTATGATTTTGCTAGTGTGTTGCTATCTCTACCGCAAACGTAGTAAAGTAATCAATGTAAATGCGGAAGCTAAAGAGCAAGGTAGAGATATGCAAACTCCCGTCGACGACTCCGGTATTTTTACCAAGGTATCGAGAAGCGCGCAAACTACGGTGTTCTTTTTTGACACTCGGCAAACCATATTTTTTCACTTTTGACCTCCAAATTTTTTCTGTAGTCCTCATACAATACCTGGTACTCCATGTTCCAATATGGCATATTTCTCGGACTTTTTCTATATTTCTTTAATTTATTTCATTTAATTGAATTTTCTTGGATAATTCAAATTATAACTACTAGTCATTCGAATAATGAAAAAAAATGAATGGAAAAATGATATTCATGTAATTTAGTATAATGTGAGGCCGTATCCAGGAACAGACCACCAATTTCGAACATCTTGTTCATGAAATATGACCACGAACTTGCGGTCGAGTTGTTTTTAAATTCTATAAAAAGCAAACGAAGTTAGAAAATCATGAAACTTGTCAAGATGTCAAGATATCATATGTGGAGGCTATGATAAAAAATTGAGGAGGTTTCGCGCAAGTTTGTCACGTATGATGCTTACCACCTTGTCGCCCTCTTCACGAAATCATGAAACTTATTCGGAGATTTTTTGGTTTATAAGCATCATACGTGACAACTTGCGCGAAACCTCCTTAATTTTTTTATCATAGCCTCCACATATGATATCTTGACATCTTGACAAGTTTCATGATTTTCGAACTTCGTTTGCTTTTTATAGAATTTAAAAACAACTCGACCGCAAGTTTGTGGTCATATTTCGTGAACAAGATGTTCGAAATTGGTGGTCTATTCCTAGATACGACCTCACATTATACTAAATAACATGAATATCATTTTTTCATTCATTTTTTTTTCATTATTCGAATGACTACCCGTTATAATTTGAATTATCCAAGAAAATTCAATTAAATGAAATAAATTAAAGAAATATAGAAAAAGTCGAAGAAATGTGCCACATTGAAACATGGAGTACCAGGTATTGTATGAGGACTGTAGAAAAAAATTGAAGGTCAAAAGTGAAAAAAATATGGTTTGTCGAGTGTCAAAAAAGGACACTCGGCAAAGGGTGTCAAAAGAAGACACTCGGCAAAGAGGAAGACACTCGGCAAAGATTTTTAAAAATTTTAAAAAACCCCTCTTTGCCGAGTGCCAGCCCGGTTGGTACTCGGCAAAGAATTTTAAAAAATTTAAAAATACTTTGCCGAGTGCCAGATCGGGGACACTCGGCAAAGAATTTTTTTTTAAAAACCTTCTTTGCCAAGTGCCAGGTCAGGGGGCACTCGGCAAAGAGGTGGTTAAAAAAATTAAAAAAACCTTTGCCGAGTGCCAAATCGGGGGCACTCGGCAAAGGGGGATTTAACCCCACCGGCTGGGCCGGCCCACACACCGCACACACGCACGCGCGCCAGCCGCCGCCGCCGCCACCGCCATGCCTGCTGCCCCCGCGCCGCGCGCACGCCGCCGCCAGGCGCGCCCGCATGCCGCCCGCTGCTTACGCCGCCACCGCCGCGCCATCACGCTCCTACCTGGCATACGCCCCCTTCATGCGCTACCTTAGGAGGAGAAAGAGAGGAGGAGGAGAGGAGGAGAGGAGGAAGAAGGAGGAAGAGAAGGAGGCCGCCGAAGCAACCGCGCCTTCGCCCTCTTGCGCTCCTGCAACGTCGCCGAAGCAACGCCGCCAGGCTGCGCCACGGTCCCTCAGAAGCGGCAACCCACAACCGACCATCTCGGTCGCCATTCTGCAGTGGTGAGCCCCTATGCCGTCTCCGCCTGATGGATGTGGATGCATGAATAGATTAAGATGTCCTGGTTAGGGTGTCTCCGTGAACGCTGGTTATGGTGCATAGTTGCAAATCTGATGTTTAGCATGGATGGATTGTGGATGCATGGATTGATGTTTGTCATAAATTAATATTGTTTATGGAATATATTACTAATGGGATATAGATCCTGAATTTGTAATCCCTGATCCTTGCTTATCCTAATTACGTTGCTAGGTGTTCCTTACATAATCTTCTGCATGTCGGCCATCGTGCCGTTCATATATATGTGCATGTCGGCCATCGTGCCGCTGGTTTTCTTGCAGGTTTTGGAAACCTCACCGTGCAGGAGAGGTGCTGCCAAAATTTTGTATTGATAATTTTATGTTTCTTTTTTTTGCAGAGAAGAGCCCGTCAGAGCGGAGCCAGAGTACCTCGGTGACCCCAATCGCCTTCCTCGCCGCTGCGGGTCTGCCTGCACCGTGTCGCCTCACCACTGCACCGACCCGCCACGACCCCGCTAGCCTGACTCCACCGCCACCCTAGGTATAACCCCTCTTTCCGTATCATGGTCGTAGATCACATAACCCAATTAGGCGTCTTCCGTTCGAAAGAGATACGGATATTTCCATATCTAAAACCGTATCTATTTCGAATTATTCACATTTTTTGGATAGCCCGCGGATACGTAGGTGGGGTTAGTTTCCATGGTTTGCTCCGATCTGAGACAGAGTTTCAGCATCATCTCCCTTTTGTTCTCTGGATACACACTCTCCCTAGCAGGACGTGTATTTGGAGAACAGCGGGAAGGTGCTGCCAAAATTCTATCTCGGATAGGAGTAAACCATGGAAACTAACCTCATCTATGGATCCTCGTATGAGATTAGGACCTATCCTCACATATTAGATAGTAGGAACGTCGTGTAGATGCAATTGATGTTTATATTACGGTTATGACGTGAATGGATATCGCTTTCGCACAACAAGCTACGAGCAGAGTCGGCCCAATTGAAGAACCACAAGTTCCTAAGTTTTTACACCCGGCGTTGATGAGGTCAAGTATTATGAAAGAATTGAAGAAATATACGAACTCAAGTTTCATGGTTCCAAACCTTTTAATCCCGTCATATTCAAATGACATTGGTTTGATCCTGAAGTAACGAGACAGACATATAGGATTCCGTCTTACTAGGAGACGATGTCTATATTGTGGCCCAATAGGCCACACAAGTTTATTATCTCCCATATGCATGTCAAACCATAAGGCATCTTAAGGGTTGGGATATTGTGCATAGGGTATCTCCACACGGTAAAGTGCCTTTCCCAAACGATGAAGATTACAACTTAGACCAAAAAACATATGACGAAGAGTTCTTTCAAGAAGAGGGACTAGAAGGGAGGTTTGAGATAGACTTAACTGAAGCGATCGGAATGGAAGTAGACAATGAAACGGTTATTGAAGAGGACGCTGGAGATGAGGTGCAAAATATGAAGGACTTACAAATGATTGAGCGAATACATTTAGACAATGACAATGACAACATTGCTCATTCGGATAGTGTTGATTATTTCGACATGATTGATAGTGATGATGAGACTTATGATCCAGCTAATCCCGATCATGAAGATTATTTCTAATACATGTAATACTATGTTATTTTATAATTACATTTTGTTTATTTTGCATCTCTTTCTAAGTACTTCTTGTTTATCTATGCTTATTGGTTTACTCTTTGTATGTTTATGCTTATGGTCAAACCTAGTGGAGTATGAAAGTTTTATTCATATATGGTATATATTTATCTTGTCTCACACATGCAATCTCTTCTCCTTTGTGCAGAATCAATCGACGGTATCGAACGATCCTCATGCTTCAGCGAATCCTTCACCAAATCAGTGATGATGCTTATGTTTGTTAATGGTACTTACATTTGCAATTGTGGTTGAAGATGATGGAGCACTTGGATTACTTGTGAACTTATTTGTGATATATTGTGAGACATGTGATGTTTGTGATATATATGTGACGTTTGTGATATATGTGGTGTTGGTGATATATATGTGCTGTTGATGATATATATGTGATGTTGGTGATGTTTGTTATATATATCTTCTGTTTGTTTGGATGGGATGTAAAAAACAAATAAAAAGGCTATTTTCAGTCACTTTGCCGAGTGCAATGGCCATGACACTCGACAAAGTGACCACCTAGGAACACGCTTTGCCGAGTGCAATGGCCATTGCACTCGGCAAACATCAGAGATTTGCCGAGTGCCACGGGCCAGGCACTCGGCAAACATCAAGTCTTTGCCGAGTGTCTTGCCTACGACACTCGGCAAAGTTGGCACCTTTGCCGAGTGTCAAAGTCAATGACACTCGGCAAAGCGAGGACCTTTGCTGAGTGCCGCAGGCAAGACACTCGATAAAGCCGCCGTCACAGTGGCGCTCGCCGTCATGGCCACTTTTCTTTGCCGAGTGTCGGATTGGCATTTGGCAAAGTCTTTGCCGAGTACCCGATAAATTGCACTCGACAAAGAGGTCTTTGCCGATAAACTGTTTACCGAGCACCCTTTGCCGAATGTAACACTCAGCAAAGGCTTTGCCGAGTGTATATCGGCCTTTGCCGAGTGCCTAAGGCACTCGGCAAAGAAGTCGCCTCCGGTAGTGAACATTGATCATGAAATCTATTTGAACCATTATTTTTTTTAAAAGCTTCTAAATCTTAGTGAATTCCTCGTAATTTTGTTGAACTTTTTTATTATGGTTGGGGAGACATCAGGAAGCGTTAGATGTGTCTATGACTAGTGGGTTCATATGAGGGAAGACGTTGGGAGGCATCAATGAGAGAGGCGTCGGGAGGCGTTAGATGTGTCTATGATCGGTGGGCCCATATACGCCATAACGCCTCCCAATGCCTCCAACGTTAAGGGGATTAGGACTCCAAATAAAAAAGTGGCAATTCTATTTTCGTAGTTCTTTTATTTAATCAAGGGTAAAAGGGTAAATTCATAATTATAAAATTAATGTTTTGGGTAGTATAGTTAGGGTGTATGATTTAAGTACTAAAGTTAGATAATTTTTTTTTAGTAGTATAGTTGGCATGAATGATTCAAGTAGTATATAGTTAGATAAACATAACATTTTATTTCTAGGGTTCATCCAGGCCACCGCCTCCTCAGCCGCCGCCGCCTACCTCCGCCGGTGCTCCCGACCTTGCGCCAGGACATCCAGGCCGCCGAGCTGCGTGGCCCGCTCGGTCGGCCTCCTCCGGGCGGCTGCCGGATCGGGACTGGGCTGCCGGGGGTGCTGTACTGGAGCAGCGGCGACGGCGGCAGAAGCAGGCTGCTTGCGGCGCGGGCGCGCGGCAGGAACAGGTTCAGTGGCGGAGGGCGGGGAACGACCAAGGATGAGGCGGCGGAGGAGGACGAGGAGCAGGCCATCGACGTGGTGATCGTCGACGCAGGGGACGACGAGGAGTACGCCTCCGACGAGGTGTCTGGGTTCAGGGGCCTCGTTCTTGATCTCTCTTACAGGTGCGATCACAATCACACACATGTATGGGTCCACGTATTAGAGACATGCGGATCTCATATACTTCAGTTTCAGCACACAATGAAACTTGAAAAAGGCTTAAATCATCTCTTTTGCTAGAGAATCAGATCAAAATTGTGGAATGTTTTGCGCATGTATCAAGAAGCAACATGCATGGTTTAACATCAGTTGCAGAGTTACAGTTCTTAAACTGGTGGTCTGTTTCATAATACCTTGAGCCTTTGGGCCTTCTTGTTCCAGTGTCACTAATAGCTATACTGATGTATTGTACATCCTTTTTATTTGCTTTTCGAGTACGATCAACCACATAATTTCTGCATGAAATTTCTATTTCCACAAGGCACTTCTGTCATCAGATTTCGATGCACTTAGCTGGAATTTGATCCTCAAGTGTGCTGAACTGAAACTATACTCTGCATTCAGGCCTCTGGTGTTGTTCAGGTTCCACAGTTGCTCAGGTAGTAAAGAGACGAAGAGTCAAGCAGAGCCTTAGTCGTAAAAACATTCTTTACATACTCAACGGCTTAGTGTCTGCACCGCCACATTAAGCTCCATTCTGTTGAATCTTCTGTATTGCAATTTATTTCATTTTTTTTAGAATGCTCAACGGCTTGGGATCTAAAGAGTGAATGTTTTGCAGCGTTTCCGTGAATTGCTCGAATGTACTTTTGTGACGTGGTTACAGAGTATTTAGAATGACCAAGATTTCTGATATTTAGAATGACCAAGATTTCTGACAATTTTCAAAAAAGTTTGCTGTATGTTGGCACATGTATTTTACAGGACGTGGACAGGTGGGTGACCAATTTGAATCAAGTGACATACGTACAGGTCGCTCATTCATATATATAGACCAAGTGGAGATTTCAAACATACGTACAGGTTTGAACATTCAAACAGAGTAACAAAGAATATTAAAGGGTTCCATCTGATATACGGCATAAATAAAAATGAAACACATAGATCACCTCTCCCTGAATCTTCTAGCTTCTTTCAGTCAACTCTAACAGGAAACTAACAAAAAAAAAGAACAGCTGCCCCTACTTCCTACATCTTCTGCATTTTCTCAAAGAGGATATTGTTCTAATGAAATCAACTACTGCAAGCTACTGAATAAACGATCAAAATTTTGCTAAAATGCAGAAAGGCAATGCCCACTGCTATGTGGTTGTTCTCTGACTTCTGCGGCATACTTCAGCAATCGGCATACTTCAGCAAGACTTTTATTCAAGCAGGCCATCGGCATACTTCAGCAAGACTTTTATGCAAGCCACAGAATTTGTGTCCATCGGCAGAGCACTCAAGCTGAGGAAACAAGCACTACCCATCTGTTAAAGACAGCTAACAAGCACTGTAAATAAGATTGAAAACTAAATGTGGGGACTTGCCTGAAGGTTCTGGTTCAGTAAAGGGAAAAATAAAAATAAAAAAACAGAATCTAGATTTTGACACTGATGAATTCTCAATGGAAAAGCATATAGCGACAGCTATTTTTATTCTTAGACCTTATAAGGCCCAACATTATGCATGGGACATGTCAGATGACCTGGTTATCAAAATAAATAGTAGTGCCGCTTGAAACATTATGCATTTACATGTTCTTCCAATCAAGACCCTTTCTTCTGCAGGGATTAGTGTGTTAACTCTACCAACAAATCCACCATTTCAGCAAACACTACAGTAGTAGTGTTATTTACTTCCATTCAGCTTACTCAATCAGAGATCAAGCTTCAAAATAGATAAATAACACACTGCAATTTACAGCTTCAAGGCACAATACATTGTAATTTACAGCTTCAAGGCAAAGGTATGGTCTACTATTTTAGTAGAGAATCACTCCAGAAGATAGTAACTGAGTAGCTTTAGCAAATAGCTCAACATACTGACACTCAAGTAGCACAAATTGTAAAATATCTCATACTCCATAGAAAACCTCTCAAAGATCATGGAGATCCCAAGATAGCTAAGAAGTTCATATCAGAAGTAACAGAAAATGACTGATGATATTTTTCCAAAGAATATTCTTTTTCCTGTGGTCTGATCTGCCATTCCTTGCAAGGTAAGGAAAAGGCAGGTTTGAAACAACAGAGCTTACAACCTAGCATAAAAAAACCCCTCAAACACTTGGAACAAGATCCAAATAAGAAAACCATGCACAATTTTAGTCTCACCAAATTCAAGATTCAAACTTAGAACCTTCAATAACATTAGCTGTAGTGGCCTCTTTATATCCTTTTGGATTAAATGGACGTGGCATCTGGACATCAGAACAGATCATAAATGCATTCTTTTACAGGACTGAACAGGCCATAATGAATTGTTTGTAAGGAATTGAACACATAGGTGAATTGTTTTACAGGAATTGCATTTCCCTAAGTCTCACCACTTTCCTCACTGTGTTTTTATGCTAGCAAACAAAACTTTGAAGAAGTCACAAATTTAATTGCTTCAAGATTTAATTAATTAATTGGATTCGACTGGACGCTGGATGGGCACTTGTCCAGTGAAAATCTTTTATTAGGCAGCTGAAAACTTCAGAATCAACTCCCATCGTTTTTTGACCTTGACTGCTCAAAAGGCTATGATTAACAGTACAATTGACAATAAAGAGCATTCTAAAAAGCCTAATCACTAGGAAGAGTTCACCAACTATGGTTACCAAAATCACGCATTATAACAATTTAACCATGAGGCTTTCCTTGTGGTCTGTCAATCCCTATAGTGCACAGTGAACACTGGTTTGAAACAACAGAATCTACTATCTAGCAAACCCATCAAATAATTGGAACAAGATTCAAATATGAAATCTAGACACTCTTCTAATCTTTCTAGCCAAAATTAAACGTCCATCCATGTTTGAACCTTCTTTAGCGGCAGTTGTAGCAGGATGTGTCATCAGGATATCAGGTGCCCCCCTGGATATTACTACATGTTCGGATCACAATGAGTGTTGCTGTTCTATATATGAAACCTGACAAAGTGAGCTAACATATGAAACCTGACAAAGTGAAAGTTGTTGTTCTATATATCCAAAGGAGGCCTTAGGAGATTTGCCAATCGGTGATCTGAAATGAAGTTGGTCATGGGCCGGCCATAAGATAGCAGCTTATTGTGCCTTCTCTCTGATCCTCTGTTGTAGCTATCTAACAATTCCTTTTCTATTCAGCCATGTATCATTCCAATCTTGCAGTACAACTGAATACTAACCTGATAGGGCTACTGCCGGCAGGTAATTTTGGAACATAGAGCTAGATAACAGTGAGTTGTAGATCATTTCGTTGTGGTATTCTACCACAAGATACAATTGTGTAAACAAGATTCTGGTAGTTTCTACCCACTCCGGCCACGTTTGGAATACATGAATTTCTTGTCAATTTCTTTGTTGGCATCTAGATAGAGAAAAAGGCAACGGGTTCTCATGTATATGCATGCTTCTAATCTACAAAATTTGCAAATGATGGACACCAGCTTTCAGTTAATCTCATACAGATACAGAAGAACAGCTAATTCGACCAACATAGTCTCAGCAACCCAGGTGCCACGTGAAGGAACATCCAATGCTACAATGCTACCAAAATGCAACGAAACAGAATAGCAGAGCAGCACAGACCTTGAATGGGAGAAGCGATGCCTCTCCCATCGCAAGATCTCGGGCGGCGTGGGCGCCGAGAAGCGCTGCAGCAGCGGCGCAGACGACGGCGGTGCTTCTGGCCGAGGGCGCCGGGCGCGAGGGCGGGCAAGCATGGGGTAGGGCGTCGGCGTCTGGCAGTGGGGCCGAGGGCACAGCGGTCCCCGCGATGAGCGAGTGAGAGGGCAGGGCCGCCGGCGCGACGCCGTGCGAGGGCGGCGGCGGCGGCTATAGCGAGGGAGAGAGCATGGCGGCGGCGGCTAGGGCGAGCACGCGAGCGAGGTGCGTGCGACTGGGGGAGACCGGCGAGTTCGGCGTGGGGTCTTGGGGGCGAGGGCGGGGCGGGGGCGGGGATGGGCGCCGGTGCTGTGGGGAGGCGGATGTCGGGCAGGCCGGCGACGTTTCCCTTCACGTGGGTGCGTGGGCGGGCTGGGAGGTGGGCCGGCGGGGGTGGTGAGTTGGCTTTGCGAAATGACTATAATGCCCTTGAACGAATAAAATCAATAAAAATAGATATTTTGGGTAGGCATCAGGAAGCGTCAGCAAGCGTTAGGAAGCATTTTCAACCATTGTAAAAGGGCTCAATTTTGTTTAGTGTAATTACCGCAAAAGGTAATGGAAAGGGAATATCTGCAATCAGTAAAAGTATTTTAACAAAAACTTTCACATATGCTTATAAACTGTGTTGGTAATTTTATTTTTCTTTCCAGTTGCAAAAAAAACTTGGTTTGAACCGTCAAAATTTATGTATGACGGTTTTGTCAAAACTGATATATGGCAAAGGAATTGCATATGCCAGCAAAGTAGTATGCTACCATCAGCTGTGTTGTTTATGATCCAGTAACATGAAAGGTCTTCGTCTTGCTAAATTGATGATAACATACACCATTTAGTTATTCTTATTGTCAAATCAATACATTGTATTGCTCCTTGAAAATATATTATTGTTAAATACTACCATGTTAAGATTTTTTTTAACCTACTCTACTCGAAAGCCACTATGGAAAAAGTGAACTATACCTGTACTATTGCCATCATGACCTGTATATAATTATGATCCATTCATTTTACTTGCTTATTAGGACATCGATAGTCATTGGGACTGTACATTAACTTTGGTTCTATGAAATACCTTGAGTCCTCTGGAGCAGCTGATCGGTTAGAGCTAATGGCTCTTCAAGAGCACCACAAATATGTGTCATTTACGGCTGGTTTGTGAAGTAGAGGCCATTGGAGAGAGTGTTTCTGTGTCATCCTCTCGTGAACACTGAACAGATGTGCTATACTTATGCTGCATTCAAGGCTTATGTACCTGAGATGGTTGAAGTGCTCATTGATAGTGTGAGGAACCTAACATTTTTCGACTGGTAGGTTAAAGAACAGGTTGATGTTATTTGAAGGTTCCCTGACAGGATGTTTTATGTACCTGAGATGGTTGAAGCGCTCATTGATAGTGTGAGGAACCCAATGTTTTTCGACTGGGAGGTTAAAGAACAAGTAGATGTTATTTGAAGGTTCCCTGACAGGATGTTTTATGTACCTGAGATGATTGAAGCACTCATTGATAGTGTGAGGAACCCAACATTTTTCGACTGGGAGGTTAAAGAACATGTATTTGTTATTTGAAGGTTCCCTGACAGGATGTTAATGATGTCTTGTTATGGCTACAGCTGCCGACCGACATAGTTGGATTTCTTAGTGATCCTCGAAGCTTATTTTTCAAATAGCTTTCTATATGTATAATGGTATATATTATAGATAGAAAACTACAAAGATTCTACATGTAATCTCTCTTAGGCACACAAACTCTACCATTACAATAAGTGAAATACAAGAGGTATTTTACTCTCTATGATCACATCATC